AAACCATCAGATGCTAAGCCAAGCCTTACACTTCGACAATCATTACTAAAGTCAATATTCCGATGGTCAAAATCTTTCCATGCAAGAGAGTCAGCAGGATGCCTAAAGACACCATCATTAGTTCGTTCCTCTGCATGCTATCTCATTAACTTGGCCGTCTTGGATGACATAAACAACCTTTGCAACTTTGGCTTTAAAAGGAAAATACCTCATCTATTTTGCAGTTATTCATTTGCCACCTTTGTTAGGACCATTTGAACCACCATCACCATTTGATTTCTATCTAGAACTATTGCATATGACACATTTATCAAGATTGGCGTCCTCGTTTTGAAACAACATGCAACTGTTGAGACATGCATCCCACGTCTCATACGTGAAGCCCAAATCTGTTGTGACCTTTTGAGCTTTATAATGTGAGTCCGGGAGTTTCATACCCAACGAGAATGCCTCATTCAATAACTCAAGTAACATGTCAACAAACTTGTCTGTCCATTGATTAAGCACCTTCAAATGTAGAAGTCGAACAATGAATGAAAAATATGTGAACTTCTGACAACTCGAATACAATTCACTTTGTGCATCTTGAAGAAGTTTGAAATACTTTGCAGTCTCTGCATTTGGACCGAGCTGGGGTTCAGATGCATGGGATCAGGCCCCTGTGGTTCATTACCCTCAACACTTGTACCGGCATGTAGATTTCCCATCGCCCCTTGTATCATTCCAATCATATCATCCCTAATGTCTAAATTAGCTAATGTTTCATTCTCTCGATTACCATGCAGAGATACGTAAGATTCCCATGATTAATCCAATGTTTATATTTTTTAAAAAAACCATTCAAAATCAGATGCTCCTGTACACCCTCTCGTACAAGATGGTATCGATTCTCACACTTCCTACACTGACAACTGATCATCGAACCTTCAACCCTATTGGTGTAGGCAAACACAAGGAATTCATCAATCCCATTAATGTATTCGCCCGACATCCTATTTGGCAAATCAATCCAACTCTTATCTATCATCTGTACACATCCACAAAAATATCTCATCAAAGTAACTCTAAATATAATACTTACGTATTCATGTACCATGATACTTATTCGTCCAATTTCTCTCAAATAGTAGGTGGTCTTATCCCAGTTAGTTATTTACCGATTTGATGGGAGAACATAAAAAATGAAATACTTATACAACAACACGTGAGACAAAAAAATGTTGCAAAACACAAAGTAACATACTTTCATTATAAATTCAAAATTTATTTAAGGGAACTTTTCAAACTTAAAATGATATTGTAATCACAAATTATTAATTTTAAAATTTAATAATTATAGGGACACTAACAAACATACTAACTAGATATTATTAGATAAGCTCTATGTTAAGTATTAAAATCTATATACATATCTCGAGTTTTGATCAATCTCAGAAACTTCTAAAATTAATGACCAAATAAATCTCCATGTAAGATATTTGGTAAAACTTTTGGTAATGAAATCAATGGAGTTGATGGTATTATTAATGGTAATATCTTCTCAAAACTATTTTTTGTTTTTTGGAAATGTTACACAATATATAAGTTGCAATTTTTAGTTCAATTCAATGCCTCAATGAAAATTGTTAAGAAAATACTTGGAGCAAGAATATGACTGTCTGCACGTGTGGTCCTCAAAAGAAGTTTCCTTGATGGGGGATATATGGACCTGTCCTATTGCCCTGGTTTTGAAGGAATAAACACTTGAGAATTTTGACTCTACATTTTTTTCTTCTTTCTTATCCTCAGAAAGGCCAAAATGGTGAAAGTGTAGTGTGTAGATACAAATATTACCACCCAAATTGAGTACAGATAATGAGAATTAAGTGTGTGCTTCTCTATCAATAGATTTCCCCACACTAAAGCTTGTATTAGATTGTCAAAGCAAGCATGCTTCTATACAAAAAAAAAAATCTACAGTAATAAGACAAAGTGTCAGTGAAAGGTGACAAAAATTGCAATAAATTTTGAAAGAGAAGGAGCATATATGGGTGGTTTTTTGATCATTGCCTTAAGTATTAATTAATAAAAAAATTAGCATATGGTTTCTTAAAGTATTAGATTTTTTTGTTATTAGAAAAATAATAATGGGTCTTATATATATTTATTAATGGGGTCATATTACATGACTTATTTAGTTCATTTGAAATCCATAAAGAAAATTTAAAATATTCTTACTATCGAATGTGCTAATTTTCAAAAGTCTAATAAGATTAAATATCATTCTCACTTTTAACTTGACATCTAAAAAAATCTTAAGTCGTTTAAGAAACTTAGGTAAGGAATATGTTTCGATGTTTGTGATATATAACAACATTCTTAATTAATTCATGAATCTTCCTAAGAAGTGCACTTAAAAATATATGTATATATATATTTTTAAAAAAGGATTTTCACCAAACTCTTTTGATCTTTTTATTTATTTATTTTGGGCCACACAATAGGACGTTAGGATGTTAATACCTTTTTATTCACTCCCAAACATACTTTTCAGCTCAATTCAATTACTAACAATGAACTAGAGTCGTAACAAAAAATTTAGGTGTATAAAAGGAATCGAACACAAAATGTACAGATGTGAGATATTTTTTACTATAATAAATTTTGTTTCACATCCATATATTTTGTATCACATTTTCTCTGTGCACTTTTCACAACTGAAGTCCAAGTATTTACCCCTTAATTTATATTGTTATGGGTTGTGTATAGGGATTCCATTACCAAAATCTTTGGCAATTAATGTTTACACGAATACACATGCAGCTCTCTTAAACTAATCACATATTAATCTAATCATACATTAAAAATGGCATGGATCAAGGTCAACTGTCTCAATTACTCAATGGAAAAAATAAATGGTGTAGACATTTTGTAGAATCAAGAAATAAATTAAATTAAAAAAATGTGGCTCTCAATGTTTTGCACCTTTCAAAGAATCAAGAAATAAATTTAAAAATTATCCAATTTTCTAGAAAAATTTCTCTTCATTTTGTGTGTATACTCTTCAATAATTCACTGGCTAGGATTATTAACCAACTACAACTCATTTAAATAATTTGACACTAATATATTTTACACTAAATTTACACTAAATAATTTACACTAATCATATATATTCATGTATATATATATTTTTTTTGAACAACTAATACATATATATATACACACACACAGAGCATACACTAGGTGAGAAAGCCGTCGCCGCACCACCGCACCACCGCTAGCCGTAATACGCCGTCGCCGCACCACCGCTAGTCGTCGTCGACAGCGATTGAGCCTGCTCGCCGTTCGTCGCTCGTCCTTATCAACCAGTTGTTCGCCGTTCGTCGTTTGTTTGGGAATTTTGAGGGAAAAAAATATGTTTCAAAGATTTAGGGATTTCGATCCAAATGATCGAGTGCCAAACAATGGGGAGAGCGGGGCAAATTTTTTTTATTACTTTTTGCGACGGTACATTTTACACCGTCATAAATGATAAATAATTATAGACAAACCGACGCCGTTTTGATAAAGATTTTTTTGTGACGGACATTTGCTGTCGCAAATTGTCCACTAGTTGCGATAGCAAACTTATGCCGTCTCAAAACATTTCTTTTTTGCGACGGTAAAAAACGTCATCGCTAATACTTTCCTATTTATCACACTTCCAGTGTAGGTTTATTACCGACAGTACAACGCCGTCGCTAAAGCTCTTTATTTGCGACGGTTTAATCTGCCGTCGCAAAAGATTTTTTTTTGCGACGGGGAACGCGCCATCGCAAAAGCTTCTGTGTTTTATACTCCCTTTTCTTGTAGTGAATCAGCAATGATTCAGACCACTAATTCTGGTGCCCTAATGGAGCACTAATGACATGACAATGAACAAAAAAAATAAAATAAAAACAAGGCAAGACCAAAATATCACATCACTATGAGTGGAGTCCACTGCCAACTCATTAAAACTACCTTTAAAGTTCAAAAATTAGAATTCTAAAGTATTTTTCATAAATAAATATACTCAGTGGGGCCAACCTTACTAAGAAAACAAATGAAAAAAAAAAAAACTTATGTGTTGGAAGATTTTAATAAATAAATAGACTCAGTGGGGCCAACCTTACGAAAACAAAAGAAAAAAAAGACTACATTGGGGAAGATTTTAATAAATAAATACTAGAGTTTTGTCACTACCCAGTGGGGCCAACGTTACTAAGAAAGCAAACGAAAAGGACGACTTATGTTCCGGAAGATTTGAAAAAGAGATTTAGAAAGAAAAAAAAGTAAAAATAAAATGTAAATAAAGTATATGTAAGATTTGTTTGGTTTAATTTTAAAATTATGATTTAAGTATAAATAATGTTTTGAGTTTTAAGTTTTTGAATCATGATTTGAAAAGAAAAAATTTGTTTGATTATGAGGTTTGAAAATAATTTTGAAATAAATTATAATTTTTTTATATTTTTTTTGATTGATTGATTGATTGATGTATAAAATGTGAGAAAATATGAGAGGATAGATGAGAAACAAAAATGATTGATTAATTAATTAATAATAATATAAAAAAAGAGAAAAAAAGAATTTTGAAAGTATAATTTTAAATTATATTTTAAAAATATATTTAGTTAACATGTTTCATCCAAATTATAATTTAAAAATATAATTAGATTTTAAAAAATAAACCACACATTACTTTATATATCATTTAATTTCACATATATTTTTTTCTTGTCACTTTTAAATTCTTTCACAAAACTCCTAACGAAACAAAGCGAGTAAAAGTCCCGAGATAACAACTTGCTCACATCGCAACTATACAACCCAGTTGTGAAAGCAGTACTCTCTCTCCATTTCAAAATGCGACATGAAAATAATTTTTCAAGGATTAAATTGTGAGTGCAAATTAGGAATTACAAGGGAGGGTCATCAAACTGAGAGAGAGAGAGAGAGAGAGAGAGAGAGAGATGGACCAAAAAATCATAGTAGCAATGAAGGGTCATCCTTGCACAGGGAAGAGCACTTTGGCTGAGTTCATAGCAGATGAGCTCAAATGCATTCCTATCAAGCTAGATGATGTCCGCAGCTGCATCACAATGATTCAACAACAACAGCCCTTAGAGGATGCAGAAGAAACCCTCAACAACTTATCCTTTGAAATCATCTGCCAAACTGCTTTAACCCAGCTTCGTTCAGGGCTCTCTGTCGTCCTGGACTCACCACTCTTGCATCGTGCCCATCTAGATCGTTTACTTGAGCTATCAACTTCTACCAACCTCCCTCTGGTCATCGTCGAGTGCATACCACGAGATCGAGTACAATGGAAGCTACGACTAGAGAAACAACAACAGCAACAGCAAGAGGAGGTTGTTAATGGTGGTGGTGCCACCTGCTACTGGTACAGGCCCTCAACAACATGGGATGATCTTCAGAGGCGACTGAAAACATTTATAGATTATGAAGTGGGAGAGGGTGAAATCCGCAAGCTCGTGGTCGATACCACCTCCCATTTTAAGAAGAAGGTTTGTCATGCCGTGTCTCGTCTTTCTCTCTGCAAACTGAGCCACTGTGTGGACCTAACTCAGTGGGTTCGTGACGGTTTTGATGGCCTTGAAGGGGAGGAAGATTGGAAAGAGGGTGAAGATGGCAAGCAGGAAGAGGAACGACGGCCACCTAACCACGTGCATCGTTTAACCATCTCTAATGAAGAGACTATCAACAACAGGGCGGTTACTTGTTGTAGGAAGTGCCAGCTGGAAATCATCACAGGTGAAGAAGGTCTATCTCCAACGACCTACTACAAATGTGCTAACTGTGATCTAGTCCTCCACAAATCGTGTGCCGAGACACCCAACAAGGAGGAACTTAAACCTTTCCATTGTCTTCCTTTTCGCGACCCATCCTCACTCGAATATTCATTTCCCGAGACGTATAGTTGCCATTTCCACTCAGATGCCGACAATGGGGGATTCTCGTATGATTGCCCTGAATGCCTCTTCGAGAGCCACCTAAGATGCGCTATGTTGCCCTCTGTTCTACATTTTCATGACAAACTCCATAAGGGTCCCCTGTTCTTTGCTATTTTTCCTGTCAGACATGATAGGACCTTTCACTGTCAAGCATGCGGTCATGAGGGCAAAGACGCCTTCTACATGTGTAATGACTGCCCATTAATAATGCATGTCAATTGTGCTCTGCTACCTCCCACCCTCAAGTACCAACCTCACCGACACACTCTCACCCTTACCCGTCCTCTCCAGGTCCAAGAAGACTCAGAAACGGAGTACATATGCGACACGTGTGAGAATGGAAGAGACCCATACCGATGAGTCTACGAATGTCTGGAATGCGGCGTGTATACATCTCATTTGAATTGCGTAGTTCCCGTGAAGTTGAACTTGCCTTGACTCAGTGGGCGAGTATGCACTTTCCCATTTTCATTTTTTTTTTTTCTACATCAGGATGTTGGGGTCAGGGAAATATCAGCACTTGTACAATCTCGAGATCACCGATCTCTCACAAATGCAAATATTCGCAACTATATATAGTACATTGTGTTTAAAAAATGTATGGTACATCGAAAATCAATGACTCAGATTGAGCCACATCATTAAAAGTGACCTGGTAAGCAGGTCACTTTTTATAGTTATGAGCCAAAATCATATTTGTTCATAACTAGAATCAAATTAATCATAACTTAGTTATAAGCTCTCATCACTTATCTCATAACCATATCTCATAACCAGCACCATTTTGTTGATAACCAATATCATATATTTCATAACTACAATCACATATCTCATAACTACATCTCATAACCAATATCCTTTAGCTCATAATCACACCACTTTGATCATAACCAATATCACATATCTCATAACATTAATCACATATCTCATAACTACTACCCATATAACTCATAACCACATCTTATAACCAATCCCCCTTTGACTCATAACCAACAATACATATCTCATAATCAACACCCTTTTGCTCATAACCACATCACTTTGATCATAACCAATATCACATATCTCATAACATTAATCACATATCTCATAACTACTACCCATATAACTCATAACCACATCTTATAACCAATCCCCCTTTGACTCATAACCAACATTACATATCTCATAATCAACACCCTTTTGCTCATAACCACATCACTTTGATCATAACCAATATCACATATCTTATAACTAATAACCACATATCTCATAACCAAACACCCTTTTGACTCATAACTACATCACTTTGCTCATAACCAAAATCACAAATCTCATAATCAACAATCATATATCTCATAACCATTACCCACATATCTCATAACCAACACTCTTTGGCTCATAACTAACATCACATATATCATAACTACTAATCACATATCTCATAACACCCTTTGGCTCATAGTCACACCACTTTGATCATAATTAACATCACATATCTCATAACCATTAGTCATATATCTCATAATCAATACTCTTTGGCTCATAACCATACCACTTTACTTATAACCACTAATCACATATCTTATAACCAACATTTTTTGGCTCATAACCACTAATCACATATCTCATAACCAATACCTTTTGGCTTGTAACCATACCATTTTGATCATAACCACCATCACATATCTCATAACCACATCTTATAACTAACATCATTTTCATCCATAAGCCCTAACTTTGATCATAACCAACTCAAAACCACTAACCACATATCTCTATTTTAGATTTATTTACTAAATACAATAAAAAGGGTAAATACAAAAATATACATTTTAAAATATTTATATACACATAGACATACATTTTAATAATTTGACTAAATTTGATACACATACGTCGTCTTACTCTTTTGAACATTTCTCTTTTCACCCATTTTTTCATCTTTCTATCTCTCTTCTCTCTCTCTCTCTCTCACTCATTACGCTTCTTTGTCTCTCTATGTCTCTGTCTCTCTTCTCTTTCTCTTTCCCACTCATCACTCTTCTCTGTCTGTCTGTCTGTCTCTTTTTCTTTCAGCGTCTCTCGTCCATCTTTTTTCTCTTTATCTCTCTCATCTCTCTTCTCTCTCTCTCTTCTCTTTATCTCCCTCGCTCATCTCTCTCTGTCTCTCTCTCGTTTATCTCTTTTCGCTATTTTCTCTCTCTCTCTCTTTGTCTATATCTTTTCATCTATTTTTTCATCTCTATCTCTCTCTTCTCTTCTCTTTCTTTCTCTCTCTTACTCATCACTCTTCTCTCTCTATTTGTCTGTCTATTTGTCTCTCTCTCTCTCTCTCTTCCTATGTCTTTCACTCATCTATCTCTTCTCTCATCTCTTTTCTCTATCTGTCTCTTTCGTTCATCTCTCTTCTCTTTATCTCTTCTCTTTATCTCTCTTTTCTCTATCTCTCTCATCTTTCTCTGTCTCTCTCGTTTATCTCACTATCTTTCTCTCTGTCTCTCTATCTTTCTCATTGTCTCTCTCATTCATCTCTCTTCTCTCTATCTCTCTCTGTCTTTCTCGTCCATCTCTCATCTCTCTCTGTCTCTTTTCTGTCAGAAACAAAAGGTCACCTCGCTCGAGCGAAGGAAAGCTTGCTTGAGCGACCAATGCAAAGCTTCAGGTCTGCAACGCAGAAGCACGCTCGAGCGAACGAAAGCTTGCTCGAGCAAAGAACACCAAGCTTCAGGTTTTACCACCACCCGCTACCTACTTACCACCACCACTTATCACCCACCGGCCACCACCATCCACCACCTGACACCACCAACTACCCACCACTACCAGCCACCTGCCACCCACCCACCCGCTACCACCACCCATTACCACCCCCCACCACCACCCACCTGCCACCCACTAGCCACCACCAGCCACCACCCACTTGCCACCTACTCGCCACCACCACCCACCACTCGCCACCACCACCA